CTTTATCTCAACCTGAAAAAGGCATCTATGAAAAACCAGCAGCCAATATCATTCTAAATGTTCAAAACCTAAAAACCTACATGCTAAAATCAGGAACAACACAAGGATGTCCACTGTCACCACTCCTATTCAATATAGTTCTAGAAACATTAGCCACAGCAATTAGACAAGAGAAAGAAATTAAAGGAAGATAGGAAAGGAAGTAGTTAAAATGTCACTATTTGCTGATGATATGATACTCTTCACAGAATATTCAAAAAACTCTGCCAAAAGACTGCTAGACTTAATTGACAGATTCAGTAGAGTAGCGGGATACAAAATCAACACTCAAACATCAATAGCCTTCTTGTACACAAATAACACACTCACTGAGAGAGAAATTAGGGAAACAATTCCTTTCACAATAGCATCCAAAGAAATGAAATATCTAGGAATTGATCAAATGAAGGAGACAAATGACCTCTACACTGAAAATTACAGCACTCTGAAAAAAAGAGAAGAGGATATAAGAAGATGGAAAGACATCTCTTGCTCCTTGGTAGAAAGAATCAACATAGGGAAAATGGACATACTTCCAAAACTTCTATACATATTCTAGAATACATAAAAAACTCAAAAAAATCAGACCCCCCCCAATACAAAGACCCAATTCAAAAACGGGCATCTGAAATGAATAAACATTTTCAGACAAAGAAGCAAAAGCAGCACATAAATATATGAAAAAAATGTTCCACATCACTGGTCATTTGAGAGGTGCAGATGAAAACAACACTGAGATTCCACCTTACCCCAGAAAGAATGGCTGCTATCAGGAAATTAACCAATAACAAATGCTGGCAGCACTTTGGGGAGAAGGGAACACTTTTCCATTGTTGGTGGGACTGCAGATTGGTGCAACTACTGTGGAAATCAATATGGAGATACCTGAAACAACTAGGATTAGACGTTTACCCAGCTATCCCTCTGCTGGGTATCTTTGAAAAAGTATTAAAAGAATCATACCACAGTGACATATGTGCACCCACGTTTATAGCAGCAGAATTTGTAATAGCTAAAACTTGGAAACAACTCAAATGCCCATCAACTGGAGACTGGATAAAGAAGATGTGGTTTTTCTATAAAATGGAGTACCACTTAGCCATAAGGAGTGAGAAACTAGAAACATTTGTAGCTACTTGGATGCACATTGAGGTTATAATCTTAAGTGAAATAAATAGGACACACGAGTAAATACTGAATAGTTTCTCTGGTGTGAAAAACTAAAAGTGTAAATAAGGTTCAAATGGTATTATTGGGAGTGTGAAATAGGAAGAAAAGGGAAATGGGAAGGGGGGAAAGGAAAAGGAAAAATGTGAAAAAACTGAAAAACTGGAAACAAAATCGTAAATGGGAAAGATGAAAGGGTTTAAAGGAGAACAAGGGAATGGGGGAAAAACAAGAACCAAGACATATCATGTAAAGTACAAGATCCCAGCAATAAATGTAACTGTATTGTTTGCTTTAAATGTATCAATAAACTTAATGGAAAAAAATAAAAACACGGAATTTCCAGAATAGCAATAAATTCGATATGACTATCAATATAGTGATTATTACCCTTTACCAAGAGCCTATGAGGAAGGTGATTAAATATTTCTCACACTGAACATGGACATTTTCTTTTTTTGAAGAAAGGAGTGTCTAACTCCAGAAATCAGAAGAATGTTGCAGTTCTTTCTTTAAAGTTTCTTTAAAGAAACAGCATAAGACTTTTACATGGTACTTTACAAAGGGTATCTTTTATGAACACTTTTAGGTGGTTCTCTGTCTCCCCAAAGTTTCCTACACTAGGAAGCTTCTAAAATCCTTCTTGTTATTTATGGCTGCTGTCTCATAATCACGATGCCCCTGCTTTGTACCTATTGCTTCCTGTGTCATTCCAGACACAGGATGTCTTGGGTGAAGGTAGCTGCCTGACTCCTTCCTGCCTTGTCTTGTCTGCAGATCCAGACTTCCAAAAACACTTCAGGACATTATGATTCCACTGTCCCTGAGGTGAAATCCTTCTTGATCATGAGACAACAAAATTTGTCTTGAAAATGTGGTTTTTATCTCGTACACTGTTCACTTGAGTGGAACAGTCCTTTATCTAAATTCTGAAGAGCAAGAATGAGCTTGTGAGTGCATAAAATATGCAGAAGACTTGTTGCTTTAAAGGTTGTGTGAGGGTGGAGCGGTGTAGAACCATTATAATTGCCTATATTTTTATTCCCATTATTATCAGTTATACAAGTGATGATAGTTGCACCTGTTGAACATTATGTGCTGGCCATTCTCTTTAGTGTTTCATTTCTTTTAATTTACTTAGTTTTAAAAACAATCTGTCAGTTCTATCCTACCCATCCATACATATGGAAAAACTGAATTAAGATGAAGATAAGAAACTTTCCCAATACTGTCCAGCTCATATGTGGTGGAGCTAGTGTATCTTGGGCTAATGGGGGTGTGAGGCAAATGTTCTATATCTTTACAATGATTGTAGTTTTACATGTACTTTTTTGAAATTCATCAACTTGTACACTTTAAATGTAATCTATCCAACATAATTTAAAGTTCAATGAATTTTGTTTTAGAAAGAGGTCTGTGTTTCTTAAACTTAATCTTAAGATACTTGGTTAAAAATCTAATCTGGGAACCCAGTTTTGGACTTTACGAAAACTGAAGCAGAATCCAAATTTATTTTTCAAAATCCATACTTTTTACTATATTAAATTAAATTTTAAAATTCTCTACATTAGTCCCCCCTCTGTTACTTTTTCAGGGTATCCATTTCCATTTTGTTTTTCTACCTCCATTACTCTGGTACATAAACTTTCTGTTACACCTGAGATACTCTACTAGATACCTCTGAATCAAGAGAAGGTCCCTGAGCTTTGATTCAAACCAGATTCTGCCTGGAAGAGCACCCTTCTTCACTATCTGAATGCATCTAAATTCTTTATACCCTCCTTGATCATTTCTATCTTTCTTATTATTATTTTAAAGACATTTCTGATTACTTTGCTGTAATCATTGTTCCTTTCCTTTAAATTATACATTATGCATTCATTTTTGATAATTGGGTACTTAGTTCTTTCCCTTAGTTTCATATCTATTGAGCGCTACCCATGTGCCAAGAATTTTGTAAATATATATACTTATACTTCTCTCACAGTTAACCTGTTTACATCATAAATTATTGTCTTATGAATAATGATATTTTAGTATGCCCTTTAGACAGAAAATAATGGACACCTACTAAAGATTACACATGATTCAAAGACTCTGGGGCTGGGAATTCGGCTCAGTATTTCAGCCTGAGCTCAATCCCCAGTATCAAAAAAAAAAAAAAAAAAAAAAAAAAAAAAAAAAAAAAAAAAAAAAAAAAAAAAGAAAGAAAGAAAAGAAAGAAAAGATTCTGAAACGGAAATCAGAAACATAGATGAGACAGTTGGAGTGTAGTTAACTTTTCTAAACTTGATTTTCCACATCTAATTTTTCACATAAATTAGAAATGTGTATTAATTATGATACTCAGTTCTGAGAACCCAGTGAAGCAGTGTATTTGTAAATGCATTATAAATCCTTGTGGAATTTCTGTACTTATGGAATCCTGTGTCATTCCTCAACTATTACTGCCTTCTTATATCATCAGCATTTATTACTGTATGAAACTTAACCACCCATGCACCAATATACTGATTCATATGTAATTACCCTAGGTTAAAGCTGATACACTGTTATTCACAATAAAGTCATTCAATTTAAACAGTAAATTTCTGATTACACTAATCCCACTCATTCCAGACTCATTTTCAGAAACAGCATAGCTAAAAAATATTCAAAGGGCTAGAACAAACTTTGACAATTGAGCACCTTAATTTTCCAGAAGAAAAGCTGAAGTCTTGATCAAAGATTTTGCCCAGGGCAGGCTACATATTCAACAATACTTCTACCTATTCACAGGTAATTAACATGTTGACAGAGTGTGTGGAATGCTTTTAAGGTTCTTTTAAATCTACTTTTAGAGATTATTAACAGATTACGAAGCAAGTATATTACATTACTTTATGATTTTGTTAAAGATAGTAACAGTAAAGACCTTCTCTGTCATGTAGTTTTATAAATATGTTTATCATAGATTTGCCTAATATGTACTATTCTCAGGACTCTCCAGAAGCTTGGCATTTTTTAAAAGAGCTTTCTGCTTTTAATTTATTTGTGATAATTTTCTCTTTTAAAATAAAATGCTCATACTTGAATTTGCTAAGTGTTTTCTTAGCTGTGCTCCTGTTCACCAAATATTTCTTTTTGAGCTTAATTCTAATTTGAACTTAGCATGTTGTTCAACTAATTCTCCTTTCACTCAGGACAGTTTACTAAAAAACCGGAACAGTAAAGGGGAGTAATGTGGCAGCCTTGGTTGCAAGAATGGAATGTGGTGGTAAATTCAGTACCTTGGGGTAAATTACAAGACCCTAAGTACTACATATATATATATATATATTTTTTTTTTTTTTTTTGCACCTAATAATCAGCTAGCAAAATGCTAATACTTGACTCCAAATATTTAAATTTTAAGGCCCAATCTTTTCTCCATTAGACCCTGTTGTTCAAACTTTACAATTGAAAAGCTCTGGGGATGTCTGGCATCTTTCCATTTCCTAGAAAATGTTCAGCACAAGGCATCCAAATTAGATATTACTTTGATCAAACTACCATTGAGCTCAGTAAAAGGTTTCCTTCATGCTCTGTCATCCAGCAAAACAAATAAGTATCAACAAAAAAACTACTTGTGAAGAGAATATTAAGGAAGTGAAGTTGAAAATATTTTCTAAAAACCTATTGCCTAAGATCCATGGAAGGATTCCTTGGAAATTTTCTGAGAGGGCAGGTGTATATATTCTTGTGATTGAATTCATGTGCAAGCTGAAGTTATAGAATGGGGACACGCAGCTGAAATGGAAAATTGCAATACTCACTTTCAATATGAAATCATTTCCGAGTCTTTCCCTCTTACACTGATGGAAAAAGCAACTTCAAGTCCCTCCTAGTAACCAGTTTATTCCAAGCCCCTGAAACTAAAAAATGAATGAATTCCATTATACTTACACCTGGTACCATTTTTACTAAAATGCTATTATTTAACTAGTCCTCCATTATAATTAAACTTAAACTGTTTAGAATAAACATCTCATTTCCACATAAAATCTTGCATTATCTGTTAGCATAACCTGTGCTGCAATAAGGAACAACCCCCAAGTTTCACTGGTTGAAGCAGCAAATTCTCACTTTGCGCTCCTGCCTAATACAAATATGCTCAAAATCCACTGCACCTGTGCTCTACATCGCTGTCACCCTGGGACCTATGCTAAAAGAATGATGTGATTTGGGCCATAGGTTGTCATTGTGGAAGAAAGAAAGAGACCGTAGAGGGTCTTAAGTTGAAGCTACACTATGTTGTGGGATTAAGGCTAATTTACAGATCCATATTTTATCATTTTCCTTACCAACTTCTATTAATAAAAACATTTTAAGATTTAAAAATATTTTTTTTTGACTAGGGATCGAACTTAGGACCTTGCACTTGTGATGCCGGTGCAGTGGCACTGAGCTAAATCCCCAGCCCCATTTTAAGACTTTTAACTTACTCATATTAAATAATTTCTTCCCCAAACTGTGTCTGTAAATACCTCTAGGACTATTTCTATCTCTAATAAGCCTTGTCTTGCTCTTTTACTTTTGCACTTATGTTTTTTGCCTCTGAATTATCTTTACACATTTACAGATTTAGGTCATGTTCTCAGTTTTAATTTCTATGCAAGGAATAGGTTTCTTAAAACTTTCTAGTGAAGAATTTTTTTCTGAGACACATCAGTTCAAAGTTCTTCAGGTCTTCAAAACCAATATGTCCATCACTTTAATACCAGTTCTAACCTGAGGCATCATCTCTGCCACGATTAGTACAAGATGTCAAGACGTCCTTATAACTTCTACATATGCAAGTAAGACTTGATCTTTCTTCATAATAATATTGTGATAATTAAAAGATTAATAGTTTTGACTCCTTTGAGATTAAAACATGTTTAGAACAGATATGGCAGGAAAACCAGTAGTAAAATCAGAAATTCCATAATATTGAGCTGAGCTTCTGAGCAGAATGTAATTGGTAGGATATTAAAAGCCAGGTTAATCTTAAAATATATTTTTGATTCCAATATGCTCAAATTTTTAAAAATGTGTTATCTTCCTTTTTATCACATTTTTGGACAAAGAAGACAGGATAAGCATTGCTTCAAGGAATTCATGACCTCAGGTGTGTTCCACACATTACTCCTACCGACATCTATCAGAGCTAGAGCAACTGATTCTCAGGAGATTACCAAGAGTTAGAAAGTCATAGCACTGAGTCTAAAATCATACAGAGGAAAAGGGCCAGGCCAGAAAGGCTGAATCAGTCTGCAAGTCAGAAGGGTGCCCTAGACTCAAAAACAATAGACTAGGAAAACTTTAAGTTGTCAGTGTAATTAGAAAGACACAGAAGCAACTTAAAGAACATTCTAGACAGCCTTCAGTAGAACTGACATGTCATTACAATGGTGCTTAATGTTAAATAATATAATGAACTAGTTTCAGTTTAGAAATTTGATAAGACAACATTCTACATTCTAATTTTCAAAAATAAGCTAGTACAATGAAAAGTGTTCAATAACTAAGACTAAGGATAAGAAGTAGTAGACAGGTTCAGAGATCATGATGGCAAGGATTCATGACCCATTTTTCTAGAATACTACATTTCCTTGACACAACTCCATGGGTTAAGTGCCTTCCCCTGGATCAATAAATTGTGGTCAGTATGCCAAGTCCATGTAATCAAGAAGCAGAATCAGTGTGAGCTACATAATCTAAGAAGTGTCTACTATATTTTTAACAGCTCATGATTAAATACAAAAGTGAAAGTAAAATTTTGTTGTAGGCAGCAACCATATTCATGCTCAGAGCTAAAGCAAATAAAGTGTCTACTGTATTAGCCCAGAACCTCTTAAATCACTGATGTGAAATTAGTGGATTTCCCTTATTTCCTTGGCATTTTGACATCTTGCTCTTTAGTGACTTTTTGAATAACGGTAATCTATTGCATACATCTAAACTATTTGTCTAGTTGCATTATAAGGTAAGACAATAGCACTGATTGATATCTAGATGCTCTGGATTACAACTCCTATAATACTAATGCAGAGGACTTAATAATTATTTTGGGGTAATTTAATAAAAATAAAAATATGCTTTCTCTGCCAACTCATATTTAATTTACTGGAGATTTCAAGAATACAATGGCCTTTCCCACTGTACATTATAGGTCTAAATACAGCCACCTCGAGACAACCTTCTACTGGCTGGCATAAAACAGAATAAAGCTTATGATTAGAAACGGGGATCTTTGTGCTCATGGATGAGAAAGCATATTGACGGGAGGAAAGTCAGGGTACCTTCCCAGATCTAATAGGTCTCCCGAGTCAGAGTCTGAGATGCTGATCTGTAGAGCAAGCAATCATTGGAAAGTCAATTGCACAACAGTTTTATCCCTTATTACTATATTTCCTTCAGCCTCGGGCTTTTTCTACAAAGAATTCTGGTAGAAAATCAGATAAGATTATTAGTTATTTTTACCTCCTTTACAAGGTGGTAGTATATATTTGACTCTGTTTCTAATTTTATCGCAGCTGGCCCTCAGGCACAAAAACTTCTGTCTCACAACACGATAGTGACCAGAGTAAGCGAGGGCCTGTAGGGTGCATCTAGTACAAACTTAATACATGTTCAAATGTTCAGCTTCTGCTTCTGGACAACTGCTTGTGATGTTGCAGCTTACTTTTGAAAATATCTTAAAGAGAGGACAATTTTCACTAACCTCATAGCAAATTTATTAAGGATGCAAAGAGCCTAAAGACATTAAGCCAGTTTTGTTTTGTTTTTTTTTTTTTTAAAGCAGATTGAGGATAGCAGAGTTGAAAGCAGAGGGAGCCACAATTGAGAGTCTGGGCATTTATCAATGGCTCGTAAACCTTGTCCTAACTAAAGGTCAAAGTTTTCCATCTGGAAGAATCCCTTCTTGTTAAATTTCTTACAAAAATTGGCTTAAATAACAGAATGTGACTCTAGGGAAACTTTAATTTTCGAATGCATAATGCTTACCTACAGTGAAGACAGTAATCAGCTGCCTACATTGCTTCTATTGACCTCAGTATTGCTTTATGTGAGTGTCCTCAAAGTTAGTTCTCTCCGAAGACACAAGAAGATAGGTATTTGTAGAACATACAGGAATCGAATACTTGCTGCTGGAGATATTTTTAAAGGAGTTTCACTGTCATCTTCCACATGAGAATCTTAGAAACTTGGAAATTGAAGAACTGTGTTAGCATAATAAAAGCTTTGGTAATTTACACAATAAAGAAATTCCTGCCACCCAGCATCACACAGAAACACTCCTTGTGTACCCTTTCACATGGAGGGTACCTGGAGAAACAGACCATGTGGTTTGGATACTATCATTGCAGAGGATTAAGAACACAGATGGGATATTTCTGGAAGATATGATCGCTACGTAATCACTGTGATACATTTTGGGGTAATAAATGTCAGGTGACACTCTCCCACCAGCACTAAAGTCATCTTACCAGTCAACTCACCCCTGTTCTGCTCAGCCGCATCACCAGTAAGAGAAGTAAAATCCCCATTGATCCAGTCGGGATAGAAGAGAAACTAAGCAGTCTCAATAGCTTGTCTCAGAGACTGAGAGACTTAAGGCGCACAGGCTGACAGCAGCTCCACTGCAGCATAAAAACACATGCTTGGCTCTTTAGGCAAGGAAAAGAGAAGTCCAACAGGATGTGTGGTCCTGTAAAGTACAGCTGAAGTACACAACTGGTTCATCCAGCACAGTAACAGAGAGAGAAATCTACAGAGAATAGAAAGAAGAGTAGAGAAAAAGGAAGGGGAAAAGAAAAAGAAGAGGAGGAGGACACAAAGAAGTAGTTAAGAAAAAAGAGAAAGGTAACTCAGACCCTCTGAGAAAACTTAAATCATCTTGACCTTAGAAATAAGTGCAGATGTTTTGGTGATCAAACATTTGGAACATTAAACAAGTTTTTTTTTTTTTTTTTTTTTTTTTTT